ACTAAAATCTCATGGTATACATGAAAATCTTGCAATATTTGGTTGTCTTCAGGAAATTTCAGCCATCTTAATTTTTTTTCCCTCAACATTGTGGTATGACAGGCACTATTGTGCCTTCTGGTGCCATCTTGCTATCCCTTAGAAATATCCTATGAGAAATATTCCCTATTTTGTGTGTGTATGCACACATCTTTATTGATTGATAAACCTTATGCGAAAGTCTTCTCAGCAGCTCCTACATTGGAGTGTATGTGTTTCCATGTTTAAAAGTGATCTTTTTCATAATAGCATTTTACTCCAGTAATTATTCTTTAAGACTCAACACAAAGATATTTTTATAATGGCAATTACTATGGTCTGATACAGAAATGTCTGTGTCTGCAAGTTATTTTCAGGATAGGACACACTCATTGCTATGCGTTTATACTAGTTACTTTTAAATAAATTTGACATTATGGGAAAATACCTATTTCACACGCGGGCAGACAAGCCTTGCAGAATGTTAATTAAAATAAATGAAGCAGTTGATTTGAACCTATTATTAGTGGGTCCTCAAACTGAATGCCTTCTTTGGATGCAGTTGCTACATTTCTGCAAATGATAGTGGCCAGACATTTATACTGAGCCTAGTGAGATTATTCATTTTAGGTAAAAAGTAAAAACTGAAAATGAATATGTGCCTTACTTGACAACAAACTTAACTCCTTTTAAAATCTGTTACTTTTGTCAATCCTATGATTCTTCTGCATATATGAGGGCTAAGATTTAATGGCGTTTAAATGAAGTCATATTAAATCAGATTTTAGGTGGTTATGCCAATTGACCATCAAGCTTTTAGAGCATGTATGTGTATCTTGTGTATCTTTATATCTATTTCTCTGTTGTCCTCTCACCAGTTCTTCAGCATTTCATCTTCAAGGCTCATTATAACATGGCATGAAATGGCAGATAATTAATTAACATTTTATTTGGGTGACCATTCTTATCTGTGCTAAAAATCCAGGAAATGTTCTAAACAAAACTAAACATGACTGTCACTTGTTGAATTATCACAATTAGAAGAGTAAATGTATGATTTCCCTTGCTGCCTTCTATTTTCCCATTATCACCTCCTTCATGGAAGTGAATGGTATTTGAAAACAATGCAGTGAAATGATACAATGTTCAGCAAGCTGGCTTTGAGGAATTGTACTACTTTTTCCATCAGTCTCATATTATCTCCTTGCAACACACCACACTTTGGCAGTAGCCACAAAGGAGGAAGATTACAACTGAATGCAGGGATTTTATTTCATTTCTTACCAGTTTCATGTCAGATAATAGCTTGTTAGAAAATTATAGTGTCATGCAGATTTAGTTCTTTCTCCTGAGTAATTTAATTGAAGTAACTCTTAGGGCCAGAATTGTGTAGATGGCATAGGCATTTTTGGCCTGGATTTTTTAGCTGCCTTCCAGTTCATCCTGAAGGCAATGACCAAACACATTCTGTGTTTTTTTGCAGCTATTTACTCTTGATAGAGGATTCATTAAATCTCTTCATGGTAGATAAGAGACAAGAAAGAGAAGTCACTAATAAAAGTCCTAGATATAATCAAAATATTGGTGAACCATTTTGTAGGATGAGCCATTGGGTTGAATGAAACCCAGTACAGTGGGGCAAAAAAGTATTTAGTCAGCCACCAGTTGTGCAAGTTCTCCCACTTAAAAAGATGAG